TGTGTGTGTGTGTGTGTGTGTGTGTGTGTGTGTGTGTGTGTGTGTGTGTGTGTGTGTGTGTGTGTGTGAGAGAGTGTGTTTACTGGATGTGTGAGAAAGAGAGAGAATAAGTGGGTGTGTCGCTTCCAGCTGAAAAGTTTGATGTCAACTGGGGAAAAGGAGAATATGGTGCACAGCTTCAGCCTCCACACAGCACACGCTAAACGCTGGAAGGCTTTGTCTATCAACTTGCTTTTCTAAACTGGCCTGTGAGAAAGCCACAATTCTGAAATACTCATACAGTTCATTATAAATACTACGACTGCTACTATGTTTGAAGCTGCACATTTACGACAGCAGATACATATTTTGATTCGGGAGCCACAGTCACATACAGCACGTCCCATAATTACTGAACGGACAGAGAAAACAACAAAACAAACACACACTGAGGTATTGTGTTCAAAGTCACCATTTCCACAAGGCAAGGCAGCACTAATACATCACAAAAGCAGGGAGCGAATAAAAACAACCACCATTTCACACCCATCGTCTTACCAGTCGTCCTCTGGAAAACTACCCTCCTCAGCCTCAGGGACGTGACTGTTGGAGCGAAAGTGAGAACAAAAAGCATCTTGTTGACAAAGCATTATGTGAACATGCTGTTGGTAGGTGCAGGCGCAAGGATTTTTGTTAAAATGGGATCGTTTAGGAGGAGTTGGAGTGTGGCAGCTTAGCTAAGGTTCTGTGGTTAGGATGATAGCGTTGATTATAGCGCGTCCTCTAATCACTTATTTGTTTCCAGATTTTTTTACAGTTGTGCAAAATATTCATACTTGACACTTTTTACCAGGAACTACATACAACCAGCAGTCACATATCTTAGCCATTTAAGACCGGAAACACAGAAACACCTATTCCAGCAATGTTCACGGGTAACTTAATGATATATCTTTACATTATACATCGTCTCTTTGTTCTCAAGAAACAGTCTGGCAACATGCTAAAACTCCAAGTTTTCTTCTTTTTTGGGGTTGCTGTAGTGCAAGCCATCAGCTAATGAGAAGTTTGATGTGTTGATCCGTGAATGTTTCCAGCCTGCATGCCTGAATATCCATGGGCAAGACACTGAACCCCAAGATGCACCCCGATGCATTGAGAGAAAAGTGCTTATGTGAATGGGTCAGTGAGGCATTGAATTCATACTGACCGCCCAAAAAGGGTAGAAAAGCACTATATGAGAACCAGTCCAATTACAAAACCCATCCTTCTTTGATTTTTTGCAACAATTAATTAAAGAAAATACTTTGGAAAGAAGCCCAACTGTGCTTTTTTTCCACTAGTCATCATTTACCTTGGCAAATGGGGAAAATGAAAATTGTTATTTCCGTATATTACAGGTGTTATCTTAGCTGTGATCATTAAGAAGCAAAAGTAAACAAAAAAGGAGACAGCTTTCTGTACCATGCTTTTGTATATCTATTCAAATTGTGCATGATTTGACGGACCGTTCTTCCCCTAGTATTTTCATTTTATATGCGGTTGTGGTCAGAAGTGAATGTCATGGTAATTTGGGGTTTTTAGATTTCTTTGTACTGTTATTCGTCAAGGGTGGAATTACTGTAAAACCAAGAACTGGCTGCACAAGTTTGTTTTGGATTTTCTCCAGTCTGCACGGGGACAAAAGTATACATACAACCCCACTCGTATTTGGTTAAATGTTGCTTAATGAAGTTGCTTCTGGCACAATTTTGGTCTTCTGGGCAGAATTGGTAGTTCGTTTAAATTGGTTGGCTTCCTGGCACGAAAACAGCTTTTAAAGCCAAACCAAAGATTTTTAATAAGTTTGAGTTTGGGGCTTTGGTAAGGCAAGTCCAGAAGCTTATTGTTAGCCTCATGTGTCCATCCCACAATAATTAATGACGTGTTTTGGGGATCACTGTCTTGTTTGGAGGCCTACTTGTGTCAAAGCTTCAACTGAACGTGAAGAATTCAGAGGTAGTCTCCCCTTCTTCATTACTCGATTTAGTTTGTAACACTTGCTAGAGTGACTGGTATATATGACATCAGTAAGCTGTATGGTTGATTCTAACTAAATAAAGCGCTGGATTCACCCAGTAGATGTTGTAAGGTTGATAACAAAAAAACTGAGTGTACGTAAAAACTGAACAACTACAAAATAAGATCATTAAAAGGTGTTACAGTGGAGACATTTTACTCAAATGTCTAAAGAGAAGTCAACAAAATCAAAGGAGAAAACAATCCAAGAAAGACAAAGTAGTAAAAATAGAAATGAATAGAAATCATTTTATAATTGTAGCAGCTGTCAGCAGGCTACCACAGTTCGGTGCATATTTTCAAGGTCACCAATGAACGTAGTATAACATTACAAACTGAATGTGGCCAAAGAGCATTCCAGCATTATTCCATTAGATCCAAACTCATACAGCCAAGCTTCACTCTTTTACCTACAACAATGAAACAATGGGACTATTTGAATCAACAATAAGTTTGTATAAGACTTACAACCACATATCCTCTACTATATGCTTCTATGCTTCGTTAAGCCACTTTTAAATAAAATAAAGACGAGTTTTGTCATTTGAGCACATCTTTACATAATTGTGCTTTCACTCTAGCCTTAAATAAAAAGCCAGGAGGATTCTGGGAGCCTCCCTCAGATTGGGACTCCAATCCAGTGGAATTAATTAATGTCTACACCCTTGGGGATGTCTTTATTAATTACAGCAGCACTTAATTTGTGTAGAGGAACACATGCGGGCGGCAGCGTCGGGGGGGCTTTGTGTGTGTGTTCTGGCACTAAATTACAAGTCACGCTACAAACTAAGATCTATACACATGCTTGTTCATTCATTTGAACAAAAACATGCCTCATTTTATCTTTGCTTTACTCGTATTATCCCTTTTTGCACAATATGTTATTACTTACTGCTTGATATTTAAAAGCTGTTCTTCTGAAATTAAAATAAAGGTTAAAAAAGGATGCAAGTATGTTAATTTGAGAAGTTAAAGTTTGATTAAGCAAGAGCTGCCTCTGAACTACTTCATCCATATTTCATGATTAACAGACAGTTGAAAGCATCTATAACAGGAAAGGAGGAAGTTCCAGTTATTCATATTATATAACAATATCCAAAACAGACTCAAGTATGCCACGCTCTTTTACTATTGGCCCGTGTTGGGTGTTTATATTATTAAATATTGCTCAGTATTACTGCTCTGTATGACTTGTCACACCAACCTGTTTGATCTGGCCTCTAAAATGGTGACTGGTAACAATGACTGAAGTCTTATGGACACATTTAAAAGAACAAATCAAAACCTCCCAGCACAAACTTGCTGACACAATCATCTTTGAAAAGAAAAATAAATGTGAGATAAAAAGTTATTTTTTTGACTTTGTAAATTAAATGAGTTGGCTTGGGCAGAGCTAGAACGTGTAGTACAGCTGACATTGTTATAGTATGTTGGACAATGAATCCAGAAGAGTGAACTTTTAGAGTCAACCGTTTCTGAGCCGTCTAATTTTGGAAACGCGTAAGAAAAAACGTTGAGGAAGCAATGTCCAAACGATGACTTATTAGAACTGGTTGTCTTCCCTCCTGCTATGAAACTCTCATCCATATTTATCAGTTGCGTAACAGGGAGTGCGTCTTTCAGAGAATCAAAGAAAACATCGAGCCTTTTAAAGGAGGAGTGAGTGCAAGTCTCTGATGACCAGCAAGTTTAACCACCAATATAACCATGAAACAAAAAAACATTACATACCAAGAACATCATACAAACCTTTAATCCACACCAGCAATGGTTACGACACAAATATCAGCAATGATTCGGAGGCTTCACATCACCAGCACGTGCAACACTTAAACGGGCTTTACGCTGCTGACCCAGGGATCGACAGTGACAAACTGTCAGTGCTCCCACTGGACTCACAATCACAGCCTAATGAAAGTACAGAGAACTCCAAATAAAATACTCTTTTGTCCTCAGCTTGCACTTCATCAATCACGCTTTTAATTGAATCCTAATGGGATTAAACATGTACTGTCACGCCTGCACTTTCTTTGATTCTGTGAACACTGAGGCTCATTATCTATGCATGAAAATGAAATGAGCAGGAGGAAAAAAGGCATTTAGGAGTGATTTAATGTTTAATGTTGAACTCTAGCTAAAAGAATTTGTAAGCTACAGGAGTGGAGGAAAAATAAATTCATTTTGGTTAAAACCCTGTGTTTATAATCCGATACTGTGAGTTACCAAGTTATATCAAAACAACATCGAGCTCGCACCACACTCGGAAAGTACAAAGAGGCATAGCCAGCCTTCACAAACATCTCCAACATGACAAACAACGAACAAACACCCACAGCGGAGAGTGTAAAGTGCCTTTGCTTGCAAATGCCTGCCCACTTTTTATTTTTAGTTTATGTCGAGAGGAGCACTGATGTACCTGCTAATGAGAAGATAGGGAGAATGAAACGCCAGATGCACTATGATGCACACTCGGCACTTAATGAAGGCCAGAGGATATGAGGACGAAGGCAGGGAAAATGGAAAAACAGGAAGCAAAGCTCAACATACCCATAAGCCACACCGGCAATAGTGCATTTCTTGAACTGCATCACGTTGCAGGTGAGAGTTCCTGTCTTGTCTGAGAAAATGTACTTCACCTGAAAGGAAAGAGAAACAGAACACTTTAAAAGAAATCTCTTTCAAATAAGTGCACAATATAAAATATATAAATATATATACCTGGCCTAATTCTTCATTCAGATTGGAGGTGCGGGCCATGGCAGGTGTGTTTGTGGGCTCATATAGCATATCAGTGTCCTAAAAACAATCATGGAAGAACTTAAAATGTAACGTTACTGAACAAACAACATGTTTGCTTAACAATCTTCATATCAATTTAGAAAATATGAACAAAGTCTCCCAAAAACTGGTGCTTTACTTCAATCCTGACAGTCAATTTTCCCCGGAGAAAATACTGAACCAAAGGGAAACCAACAGAAGTGTCCTAAATGTTACTAAAATTTACTCGCTAGGGTTTCATTTAAACTTAAAAGTTGCTCAAAATAACTTTTCCAAAATAAAGGAAACATGGATGCCTCAGTCAAGACATTCAGTGAAGTTGACCTACTTACTACAGACACTCATGATGCTAAACCAAATGGTTAACATCGACTTTTAGATGTGTTTTCCCTTTGCAGTGCTATGTGCAGATATAAATATAGTAATGGTGTTTAAAATTATTTTGATGACCCCATGTTACCACCTTCAGCTTCTTGTCAAGCTGAAACAGTCACATCACCTTATATAGCAGACATACAGGAAAAGACTTCAACAGTTGTCTTCCTAACACATCGATGCACAGCAACATCAGCATTCATCTGGAGTCATGTGCTGACCTGACAGACTTCAGTCCAACATTCATTCTCTTTTAGCTCTTTTTGGTTTCTACCAGCTATAAAGGAAAAGTCTGGCACGTACTCGCCGGCTGCTATGTTAATCTTTTATTTGATGCTTCTTGTAGTTTTTCCAGAAAGAATGCTGATGAGAGTCACAAAGCGACATCAAAACTGCTAAGAGTTGCTGTGAAGAAAACTCCTCATGATTTGTCAGCGTTCATCGCTCCAATATTCCCTTTTACAAAAGACGCAGCAATCTGATCCAAGTTTAAGTAGTGAAAGTTGAATTGCAGATAACTGCCTATGCAGAAACACTGTCTGAAAAACAGCACATCTATCTGGACTTGAACTCACCCAGTTGATAAAAAAGGCTTGGGTGAACTTGATGACCTCCAGCGTGACCAGAAGACTGATGGGGATGAGGTTGTTGAACAGGATGATGAAGGTGAGGAAGTTAAGGCCAAAGTTAGCTGCCCCACCATCTACAAGGGGAAGAGTTTTAGACAAAAAAAAAGAAGTAATACACAGAAGACTCATCAGTGTTGGTTCATAATCATCTGTTAGTTAAATCAATATGCCCAAAGCTACTTCCAGCCAATGATCAACATTATCCCAATCTGGAGAATGTTTTGGGTTAATATCGTCCATTAGCTGGAATTAACTATTTCTTCCACCCAACCTCATCCTCTTACAACTCAACCGATTAGCAATCCAATTTAATGTCCCAAAGATTGAAAGCAGCGAACAGGGACTGAAATATCTCAAATGTCATTAGTGTCGCAGCAGCAGCCTTGGCATCCAGCATGATCCAGGCAATGATTCCACAAAGCACTATGCAAAATGATGCCGGTTCCCCCGAGAGCCCCGAACAATTGGCAATGATCAACATGTAATCCCATTGACACCAAATATGAAAACAGGAGGGATGTGATTTACCTTTCCTCAGCTTGCAGGAGGTGCAAATGTTACCTTCCTAAACCCAAGCCTTGATCTTAGCATTGCGGTTGAGAGGGGCGAGCCCTTCCCCATGAAAGAACGATTCCAAAACAAAACAAAAAAACTGAATGGCACAAAGAGTGGCAGTGGCAGAATGGAAGCTATTGCTACAACAACACATGTAGGTGGGAAAATGTTTTCAGAAGTGGGGGGGGGAGACAAACAGATGCTCTCAAGACAAAGGAGGGAGATTCAGTCCATAGCACATTCTCAACCAAGAAGGAGTGGAAAAGAGTGGGTGGATTATGCCAGCAAAATAGTTTGGGTGTTAATGACCATCACCTCACTTCAGTAGTCGTCTTATTATGTCACGCAGAAATGCTGCTATCAAACAACAGAGTGACACTGGATCGGACCAGCAGAGCATCATTAAAACCTTAGCAAACAGGACATGCATAGGTCGCAAACCAATCTGATGTCACTTGTATGTGAAAGTAATATGTTCTAACCAGCTGAAGTGAAGAAACTGGCACAAAGTTCACTGTAAACTGTTTGGTTGCATCATTCTAATTACGTTTTTCGTTGTTTTAAATGGCGTGTCTATGCAAGAGCGAGAAAGCCTTTCCCCCTCATCATGCTGCAAGCAGAAGTGACAAAGTGTCAGTTAGCATTGCAACTTTTGGAAGAACAGTCAGCATGACTACCTCCAGAAAGAGTGTAAGAATCAGTAACCATACATTCTGGATCTGAAAACTTGTATTAGTTTGTCACGATTTCAACAACAAAATCATTTTTTAAACAACATGCACAATCACAGCTTTCTGTTTGTGATGTGTGTCGGGATCTTTGCATTTACTCTTGTAATGCTGTTGAGTGGGTGAAGTTACAATAATTTAAGACAACAAGGCAGCGTGGTGAAATTGCATGTTTACGACGTGGCAGTTTCCCCACCTCTCTCTTTTACCACAGGTTGGATAATATGCACTGGACAGAGCCTCAACAACTCCTTATGGAAATCAAATCAGTCTCAAGATGGATGCTTGCCTTATAATTTACACTCCCCTCGACACTTTGATATGGAATCTTTTAAGAGTGGGTTTTAATGCCGCTGAGGACAAAACCCTGAGAAAACCAATGAAAGCCAATGGAACACCTCATCAAAAGGGTCAGTGTAAGTCATAATGTAAGCTTGAACTGACCAGGGCACAACCTCTCCTACACAGGCCTATCAGGGTACAGAGTAATGGCCAGAGGGTCACGATAATCACTTTGCAGACCAGGTTCAGAGCTTCATCGCAGCAGCTGCCGCGTTAAGGAACTGAGCAGCACAAATTCTGAACTGCAATAACGTCTGTAATGTCAACATTAAAATTGAGCCATCTTCTATTATGGTTTGAGAACAGAAGTAAAAACTGAGCAGCTTTTCACTTCTATCCCTCCCCACTCTATCTATTTTTTGAAAAATCCACACAAGGAAAGATCGCTGCAGAAGCATTTAGAAAATGTCAGTTCTCGTCCCTTGGGCTGCACCACATGTTGTGTTCAGGCAATAAACACGTATAAGCCTCCTGCCACGAGAAGCTTCCCGAACACAACCTCATCTCCCTCGCAGTCAAAGTAAATGCTGCTCTTTATTTCTGGTGAAAAATGAGGTGGGAACAAATGATAGTCTGAAGCTTGGGAGCTGCAAAGCGTTTAACGTGACACAAAAAATGAAGGAAAAGTGAGACACTGTTTTTAATCAGGCACTGAAAAAAAGACAAAGGAAAAAAAAACTAGACGAAGGTATAAGAGAGCTGGAGGGGAAAACCTATCGTTGGATCCCTGGTATGTGCTTGTCCATGGCATGGGCCCGTACAAAGTAGGGCAACCATATAGGGGGCGAGGGTAGGGGGCTTCATTTGCTTAGCAAAGGCAGAGCTTCAGTAAGGGATTAGTAAGGGAGGGTCATTCACGGATGGCCAAGGCTTTTAAATGGTTGTTACCTGGAGCTGTTAAAAAAACGACAACAAAGAAAACAACAAAATCAAACAGAACATTAGAAAGGAACAAAAAAGTACAGCAGCGCAGTGATATTCAACCATTTTTTCCCAATCACACTCATTCACGACACATTTATGCATGTCACGACTTTTCTCATTAACAGGGAATTCTCTTATTCCCACATTGCCACATATTTCACTTGTAAAGCGAAACACAGTTTTAAACTGAGGCAACACAAAAACGGCACGACACATACCAGCATTTAGGAACTTAAAATGACAAAGAAATAAGCTGATATGAACAAGTGAGACAAAATATGTGGAATTAGATGTGCAGCGTAGGCTGTCGGGACTCTTACAGTTGAGATCCATGTACCAAGCATCGTTGCCATACTGGCCCTTCCAAATGGTTTGGCCAATGGAGCAGACCAGAGAGATGGCCAGCAGGCATCCAAACAGCACAAGGATCTGAAAGTTGGTGATACGCTCCACGTTGGACAGCTTCAGAGGAGGCCGCGTGGAATTCTGGGTAAAACGTGAAAAAAGAGATGTGGTAAAAAAACAAGAAGTAGAACAAACAATAGTGTTTCTCTGTTGTTGATGACAATATGAAACCCAAAAAACATGGTCTGAGTCACAATGACAAACCGCTTATGAGCATGTGATACCTGAGTACTAACGCTTGAGAAGCGCCAGTAGAAGCAGCCTGGCATACAGTTTGTACAGCATATATTAATTAATCAGTTTAACAGCTTTGGCCCTGTAACATGTATAAATACGTCACTTCTGCTCACAACAGTGATTGTTTTACTATTTCTACACAAATAATCCACAAACGTGCTTCACCTGCATGAGCTTTGTGTCATGTCCTGTGTAGACTACCACGCCGTGGATCCATTGTGTGTTCCTCAGCTGGGCTCCTCTCAGTAAGATCTGGTCTGGACCCAGTGGCACCGTGCTGTATTGAGAAGCACGGCTGACATTTTGCTGTTTAAATATCTCACCCTATCTCACCCTCAGTCAATAATTGTTGCTTTTACATACAACTAGTGAATTCATATTACCCTTTCAGACCATGCAAACAATAAGCGTACTCAATAACTGAAATGTACAGTGCTGTGCAAAAGCATTTTGCACTTTCTTGTTTTTTTCTGCATATTTGTCACATTTACATGTTTCAGATCATCAAACACATTTTAGCATAAGACAAAAAATGAAATCATCATTTAAAAATGACATGGCTTATCTTTGTTTCAAAACAATTCCCATCAACAGGGTTAGGGTTAACCCTAACCCTTGATTTCCACTAATAATATTCTTGTAAAAAGAGCTTTATTGGAACAGACTCCCAGAATGAAGATATGTTATCCTAGATATCCTAAAAGCATCCATCCAATGCATTTTCTGTACAATGGAAACAGATTCATAATTAAATATCACTGCAACAACGTCTTTCATTTATTCAGCAGAAAGATAAAAGATGCCCTGAAACCTCATAATTATTCTGGCTCTGTTCCTAGCTAATGGACTATTAAGTTAGTGAGAGGAGCAGCGAGCCAGTCACAGAGCTCTGCATCTGAGCCCACCTGTGTCCATCCAAGCGGATGTTCCCAACAAACTCATACAGATGTCGGTTTGGGCTTTCGCACTCCATCCGCCCGGACAGACGCATCAGGCTGTCAATTTCTTTTATGTCTGCAGTCACTTGGAGTCCCTGTTGGTGTAGTTACAGCAGCATTAAAACACACTGCATACAATGAGAACTTAAGAAAGACTAATAAGGAGATAGTCACCTGTCTGATTTTGAGGTTTGTTTCTCCATCCAGGTTAGATGTTTCAATGTAGCACATACCCTGTGGTTCACTGTTGTGGGGGGAGAGGGTTTAGACATTTGTGGTACGAGAATATAAGAGTGAAACTCTAAATTCAACCATATATTACACTATATTCAACCTGCTCTTGTTTTATATGATTAGAACTATATATTAAAATCAATATGCAAAATAGTACTGATTATTTAGTAACTATTAGACAATAAAGTAAGTATGAGATAGAAAATGGCTATCACAGAATAGCAGCAGAAGATTAAAGCACTGCAAACAAAGATGCTATAGAGCATAGGTGTCAAACTCTGGCCCGCAGCCTAATTACATTTGGCCTGCGAAGCCACACCAAATTACTATTAGAGCTGGCCTACTGGTATTATACAGCTAATATATATATTGTTTAGTATTAAGCTTTGCTTGTTCCATATTCAGTTTTTTAGCAAAACTTGTTTGAGTCCATAAGAAAAGATTCATTCTCATATCTGGAGGAACAAATATATTTCAATAAATATTAACGTTAGCCCGCGACTTTGTTCCAGTTTTGAATTTTGGCCCACTGTGTGTTTGAGTTTGACACCCCTGCTATAGAGGCAACTCGGGAACTTTATCAATGTTTTAGTGAAGTTAGCCATTTAGTTGTACAGTAACACCCTTAGGAGAGACAACATCTTTGTTTGGTGCTAAGCTTAACTGTCTTTCAAGAAAAGTGAAAGTACATTGCAAAGGGACAAGAGTAAAAAGAGAGAAAACACATCAGAGTGGGGCGATCTGAGCGAGCAAGCATACCCAACACAACGAACAAAGCAGACATACAGACTCTGGGCACAGGGACAGCGTTGGAGCATGCCAGTTGTTAAGGTGAGCTGGGTCGCCAGTTAGCTACTGTCTTAAATTACCAATGTATTTACACTTAAGACAGTGACGCTTTACTCAACTGGTCAGCTGTTTTAGCCATCAAATAAGTTTTGTTTCATGGAAATGAGCAAAAGTCTATTGCAATGGTCAGGAAGTGACTTCTACAGTAAGACTCTGTGCAAACTACCGCTTCGGTACGGAACATGCAAAGTTGACAAAACTATGAATCTGAGATGATTTCATCTTGAATGCGACTGCATGCAACCTGCAACATTAAAACAAACTGCTGCATTCAGGGTGCCATACAAGCCATGCAAGGATAACATATTCAAGACCCAAAGAAAGAATCTACAAAAAGGAAAACATGATCCTTTATGTCTAGATGCTTCATTCACTCTGAGCACTGTTAGAAGTTTCAGCCAAACATTTAAACGTGTCACATAACTGTAACATAAATTGTAACACAATAACTGCCAATGCCATGGCTGCTAAACTTCAAAGCGTGGTGCTCTTTGACCGAGGCGCTTAAATATCTGGTTGTTGCCAGCATGATTGCAGGCCTCGTCCTTCCACGAGTTTGGAAAATAAAATCTATCACTGTTTCAGGAGGATCCCTCATTCCGGTCCGTACACACAGCCCCTATCTCTCCCACTGCTGTTTTGTTCTCAGTGTTGCTTGTTTCCTGACCTGGATGACAGAATGACGAGGTCAGCCGGGAGGTGATCCCCATTTGCTGCTCTGATTACTTCCCCAACAGCCACCTGATATTACCAACCACGCACCAGCAGGGGGCGAGAGAGAGAAAGTGTGGCAGTTGTTCACACAGGAGGGGAGGGGAGGATGAGAGAGGATGAGGATCGAAAAGTAGAAATGGAAAGGAAAAAAATAAATAAAGAGACAAACAGCAAACACATAAGGGGAGAGAGACAACGGTTTCAGTTTTTGGTAGATGAGAAGAGCACAACGATCAGTCCTGTGTGGTCAGAGGTTCTGTTCCCCTTTTCGGCAAACCATTTAGAAACAGCAAAACAGCTGGCAGCACTTGGATGCTGTCCCACCAGAGGACATGTTTTAACACAAATGAGACTTCCTTATCTTTTTAAGAAGAACTTCGGAACAATATTCAATAGATTTTAAGAGGGTAGAAAAACACTCAGAAGTTCTATTCACAGCAGGTCCAAATGGTTTTTGAAAAGGTGAAGGAGGTAGGTAGCCTCATGATTGATCAAATCTAATCAAAAGTCACATTACCATTACCCCACCTAAGCAAATGATGGTTATCCTGCCAGACTGCAGAGCATTTGATCATATTTAGCATCTTTTACATACCTTCAAAAGCATTTTGACAATGTGGATTCAGTAAATTATCTAACCATCACTTCCTTAGGCAGAGCGGAGATAGAGCAAGAAGAAGAAAGAGAGAGAAGTTCCCCACAGTCTGGCAGGCTCGTATACCTGGATGATAAAATGACAGCATCCGCAGGAACGAAATCACTGCCATTTACTTTAATAATATCGCCCACTTCAACCTGTGAAAAGAAACTGATTATGCTGTGGGACGCCAATAAAACAGCGTAAAAGAAAACATGAGCTCAACATTAGGTGCAAAAACTTCACAGCTTGACAGAGTAGACTGTAAGCACATTAAAGCCCTAGAATAAAACACAGTGGAGAAACAGCTGGAGTCCTCATTCCATTAGAGCCAAACAGGAGCACCAAAACATTCACCGGAAAACAAAGCAACAATTTTACATTTCAAATACTACTGAGACCTGCACACTTTACAGCAAGTGACTCTGTGATGCAAAAAACAGATTGTGTGTGTCTAAGCCAGATCCTCAGTGCTGACCACTACACCATGGAGCTCGAGTTCGACACCGGGAGGAGACACAAACTCGGCCTCAGGAGGTCACAAGCTAGTGTATTCCTAGTCATACCCCCGGGCTTGCATGAAACGCAGATCATGCTTGCATGTTTGATTTGGCACAGTTAGGTGACCCTTTAGGGAAATAAGGGCTGGAAGCTATCTAGGCTCAGAAATTCTTAGCAATAAAAAGATTAATATATGCTTACAGCTTCACAACTATTCAAGAACTGATCTGAGAAGGAAGCTGTGTTTTCATAGTTATCAGGAAATGCTGCATTTGAAAAAGCAGCATGGGAAGTTTGGTGAAGAAGACAGCACATGGATCCATTTCCTTTACATGTAGAGTGATCATAAACCTGCAGTGTGGACCTGTCTAGCTAGCTAATCACACTATAATTTGAAGGCTGGCCTTGTATTCAGGTGTCAGGGTAACAAGCTTACATTACAGTGAAACACGCTTAAAGACTTTTAGCAGTTAACTAAGATTCCACCCAGCAATCAAAAAAATCATTTAATATCTTTTATGGTTAAAATTTTTAGGACATTTGAAGAAACAATATTACATAAAATGAGTAACATACAAAAATAAACCTAAAACCCACGAAGATCCACATCATTATAAATTATGACTTTGTTGGCAAACAAACAGCAAAGACAAGTTGATCATTTTGACCTCATTCAAGTTGCCCTGAAAGATTGGGCGCCAAAAAAGAAGTTTGGCACAGAAGCAGCTTTTACAATATGCATGATGAAGACGCTAAAAGCATTAATTATTCAAAACATAGCTTTTTAGAGAATCTTTCGTGTGGGTAAAGCAAAGGGACAGTTACATACCAACGGGTAGCACTGAGATTTCCTCCCTGCTGATAATTTATTGCATGAATCACATGTTGTATTAGATACAGTGACACTGCATACATCCAAAAACTCCCATAACACAAACTACAGTGGTGTGAAAACGTGTTTGCCCCCTTCCTGATTTCCTAGTGTTTTGCATTTTATTTGGAATTTTTTCCCCTTAATAATAAAAACCTTCATTTAGGAACTTTGTGTTTACTTGGATTATCTTTGTCTAATATTTAAATTTGTTTCAGGATCTGAAATATTTAACTGTGACAAACATACACACATACAAAAAAAAGGAAACCAGGAAGGGCCACCACTGCATATGTATGACATTATTCCAGCGGTGACTGTTTGTATGCATCTGTATGAGATGTAGTTCAGTCGTCTCTGCAATAATAACAGTTGCACTTACCCACTCATCCATCTGTGGATGTGTCAAATTAATGTTAACACATTTCTTTTCTAATGTTGTTCACTTATGAATCTGCGATTTGGGACAGCAACATGTTTACACAGACCATTCATATCCTGTTGTTATTTCAGTTCTCAACAACAAATTAAAAAATGCATTACGTCTCATATCACAGACAGCAGCAAGGAGAGATTTGGCTAATGTTGCACCGCTACATGCTGATTGGAGCTTTTAATGGAGGAAGCAGCATCACCATTTATTAAACTGTCTGGTGTGTTTTCTCCACACCGTCTGCCGAACGGCCCCAGCCACATTAATAGAAAAGTTTCATTATGAAGGATTCTCACCGTCCTCCAGCATTGCCTTCTAATGACCGCCCACATGGAAATGCTGGATTAATTAGTTTAGGCAGGATAGTTTTGGGGGGGTGAGCTTTCTGTAAATGACGACAGCATAATAGCTTGTGAAAAGTTGCTGGATGGATGACAGGCTCGATGCTCCGGTTGAATGAAACTTGACTGGTTAGAATCTTACAATAATGATTTATCTGTATATGCCTGTATTCACCTCCTCCTTAACGGGTGGATCTAAAACAAAACTTTGCACGAACATCATCATGCATACAGAGATTATTAACATGTGTTTTTGTTTTTAAAAATCCAGCACACTGTGCTAATCTCAGTATCCCTCTGCAAATGAATGAATGCCGTGTTTTCCGTAACTTCACATCCACAAACAGAATGTTGTTCGAGTCGCAGCTAAAAACAGAATGAAGAATTTGAAATGACACTGGAGGATTGTGACTAATAACGGCACACTGTGGAAACATACCTTCTCCCAGTGCACGATCTCCCAGGCACCATTCCTCAGTACTGTGATGAGTAAGGAGAGAGATGTGGTAAGTCTTATTAGGTCTCATTGAGACATACTTGCTTCCTGGCAACATGAATCCGTTTATACGACACTAAATAAAGGGTCAAGTTGTCTACAAGAGGAAAAGAGTTTTGAATACCTTGACATTTCTTTTTGTTGACAACACTGTCAGCATTGTGACGTTTCTGTAAGGAAAAAAGAACAACACACATGCTCTGATACATAATATTTAAAAATAATGATCTGAAAGAAGTCAGAGAACAACACTTGGGGAAAATCATGTCTTAGTAAACTACACGTATGCAAAAACAAACCCTAATTAACAAATTTCCCACGTGTGGGACTAATAAAGGTTATCTTAATCATACAGTCGTGGATTACAAGTGAACGCCCTAAAATTTGCTGACAGAAATGTACTGAAGAAGCTGACACTGTCCATATCACAGTAAGAGAGAACTGCTATTTACAGTTCCTGCAGAGACACTAGAACTACAGTACAAACCCTTGTGTCACGCAGTGGCCTAAAGTATAATTGCTGCACTAATAACAAATGCACACAGCTGGCAGGTGGATATTTGACTCTAAAATGAATAACTATACATTTTGTGCTGCTGATATGCAACAACCAGCTATTTCTTGAATCTTTTAAAGTAATGAATTGATCCTAAAAATTCAGAGATCAGCTGATGTGAAACAAACAACAAACCCATCAGCTGCTTCACATTCACGTAGCTTCTCCCTTCGTTCGAAACAAACCATACTGCCTGTGACCACATCAAAGTTCAACTCATCAGCATTACTTCCCTTCTTGTTGGCTGAACAGTCATGCAACATGCTGTGACTTTAACAGCTGATTCCAACAGACAGCTTGTCAGCTAGCATCACGGTGAGTAATAATGCGTTTGTGCATCAATCTCATATAAATGATCACAGTGTTTTAAAACGCAGCTCTAAAAGCAGCCTGTGTCTTACTTAATTAACAAGGAAAACGTGTTTACTAGAGGAGGAGGTCTTTTCTCATTTAAGCTAATTTAACTTTTTTGAGTCATTTGAGCTACTTTAAAACACTGACAGTAAAGGTGAAGTGAGTCGTGTCACCAGGAATGAAAGGCTTTTAGCTTTTAGCATCCTACGAAGACTATTGTGTATATCCCCTCGTTCTTCCCATATGTGCGTTTGTTCAATTTAAAACAACGTCGTTTTAAAATTCCTGCAACATGCTTGTAGTGTATAATTAAAAAGTCTGCTGTGTCACGCGGCCTTCACCACCTTCACTATGCCCAGGAAAAAAAGAATTACTAGTAGAGACCTTTGGAAAGCTCATTCATCATCCCTTGTGCAAGAGCTGTCAGCTAATTTGATTCATCCACACACTATTAGGTCCGGCTGCACAGACCCTCTTCTATTCAGAGACGTGTAGGAGGAGCTGAGCTGTATTTGTAGCTACTTCACAACTTATACTGCCTTTTCTCAAATCCACCGTCCTTGCCTCCTTTGCACTTTGTGTCCCCGTGGACACGAAAAAAAGGATCTGCACGGTATTTAGATGATGTGTATAATCATAGTGCAGTAGAAGGCAAGCAGCGCACAGAGGTTATGCGTAACTACTGCAGTATTAGGTCTCTGTAGACCACAGCCACAGAGGGGAAATACAGAAAGCAGTGAAAGATAAAGGCAGCTACTGCAGTGTTACCTTGATTAACCTGCTTCAACATGGACCTAATGAGACATTAAGTAGCAGCGAAGGACGTTTAACCACAAGGACAGAAACAAGATTGTCTTTGCTCTTTCAGCTGCTTGTTTTAGGTGACTATGAGAGCAATAGGAAACTACACTGCTGTGTAAAACTGCACCACACACTATTGTTAAATACATCAAGGTATTATATTTCTGTTTCTCTACCATTTTTCAGCCAGCTGAAGTACAGCCTGAGTCTGCTGCTGCAGAGGAGGCTGCCAGCAACAAGGTAAAGTACGTGCTGTGCAGTGTGTGTCCATAGTGCATGATTCATGAAGTCAGGGGTTGATGTTGCCCTGTCAGGTCAACTTGTGAGAGACAGCGCAGCACAGGGAGCAGACGCGTGCGCAGGTGACCTTCAGCGATAAAGACGGAGTCATCACCACTCTGTTCCCATGTTTTTCACAACAGGCCAGGAGAGAAAGTGCTGCGCTGGTTTCCCTCAGCACGAGATAGCAGCTAATAGTATAGAGAAAACTCCGCTGGGACCTGCACAGAGGATCGCATTGCAGGGTCACTGCAATACAGTAAAATGCAACATTCTCTCACTTTGTTCGGAATTGCGCGCATCACGTTACTACACCACAGTACGCGAACGCTGAAGCTTCCAACTTCAACTCGAAAAAGATTAAACCACACAAAAGCAACTATTCAAATCAATCTTCCTCCTAAATACATATCAAGCATCTGTTCAACAGCTCCGGCTTGCTTTAGGCAGACCGCTGTTTTGTTTTGTTGCTACTAGCTGCCTCTGTACACGAGCATTCAGTATCTAGGTTAATTGACTGAATGAGTACTCAGGGTGCAGAAGGCACAGCTGTGACCTCTGAAGTGAGTGTGTGTGTGCACGGAGATGTCCAATCGTGTGTGTGTACACATGTTGGGGTGTTTCCTGCTGTGGTCACATAACCATCACTGCCTGATTCATGCTTCAAAGAAAACAGATGACATAAAGCGAAAGACGATCACAAACTCCTGCAAAGGGGACAGGACTATTTTAACCCTGGAGAACCCATGGGGTCGGCTCTGACCCCATGGGTTCTCCAGGGTTAATTTGGATTTTGCTCGATGAATTTCATTTACTGAGGCAACTGAACTTTGATAGGTTGTGTTAGCACATTTTTGTGGTGCAATATATTAAGGCATGCATGTAGAAAAGCTTTAAAATTCTGTGCACAAACTGCATAATACAACATTTTTTTTAAAAAACCCCACTACATACACACCTATAGTTTTGTCTGTACTGTCTGGATTGTATCGGGAGCTCCTCCATATGATACCTGATTTGCACATGCTGCTTCAAACCAAATGCAAATTTGGCCTTCAGAAGTATGTTGATTGCCTTTTGATAGTTGCTGACAGCATGATTTTTTTAATCAGGGTCTTGCTGATGTGCATTTATTAATTCCTGCATTAATGATTCTTTTCTAGGCCGGGTGGGTGATGGCTCTCAAGCAACGACTGCATACAAATAATGGACGTTAACCACTGTGACTGTGACCCGAGTCACTGCTTTGTGGAATACCATTCTAAAGCCATGTGTTTGGAGTTGTAGTGATTTAAGCCATTTCAATAATACACCTCAGTTTTTAGACTTTATTAAGAAACGCTGCTGCACAAAATCAATGAAACACATAAGCATGGCTCTTCGGGCTTTCACTTTAAGAAATAAATAGGTCAAATTACCAAAAACCTACTGCCAGCTCATTAACTGGAAACCAGACTTTTTAAATTGTGGACCTACTGCAAAAAAAGTGAGAGTATATGTATGATAGCCCATGTTTTTAGACTTAAAAGTCTAAACTTTGCACCCTTTATCTTTGTCATTTCCACATTTTCCAAAGCCATGCAGTGGGCCGGACTGGGTCCAGGCCGGTGTAGTATTCCAAGCCAGTCTTACCAGATCCTCAATGATCTCCTTGACAGCAGCCACCACCAGGATAAATAGTAGCGGCACCAGAGTGGTCCAGCGACCAGTGGGAGACACATCTGGGATTTGCTAAAAGAGACACAAAAAGAAGAAACTCAGTTGAAGCTCGAGTTCTGTGCTCGACTATCAAAAAAGTCACAAGGATTTTGGTCAGTAATGACATGATGACTATTTAACACGATTAGTTAGCAGTCGTTGTAAAAATAGTGGTTTCGCTAAATGTTGAAAAAGAAGAAACTTTTTATTTAACTGAACTTTCTTGAACGGCGCTGAAAGACAAAAAGCATTACTGCCAACCAGGAAAGGCACAGCAACCATTTCATCTCAACTTGCTCGTTTAGTAATCAGTGATAGCCAAATTTAGTAACTGAAAATAAAAGCTTATCTTATCACGTCTCAGCTAGGTGACTCAACAGGAGAAAAAGAGTCGCCCTAAACTACCACAACTTCAATTAAATAAATTGTGATCATTTTTGCTACTCTCTCAGACTGGATATGTGCATGTTACAGAAAAACCGATATTGATATCAACATTAGCATCAGAATTCATGTTTTATTAGCTTGACTTATTATTTAACACACTCAAAAGAAAAAAGATGCAAATTCTGGGCTACATCCAGCACAAACAACTCTCTTAGTACCTTTATAATTCTCTCATTACCCCTGAATGTTTAATTCTTTTGGCTACCCAAGTCTTTCGAAATTAACAGCCAAACATCAGCAAAATTAGAGCCAAGCCGGGCCTCGTGAGACAGCCCCTGTTACACCGCTAGAAGGAAACTTGCATGAAACAGATCTCTCGTCTCTCTCATCTGCATAGATGTTTTATTCAAGGTCGCAGCATCGACAGGGCAGGTAACGAAGACTCGCACTGGCTGCTGTTCAAAGCAGCTACTTCAAGGTCACTGGAATGAGTCCTTTCCCATCCTTAGAGCTCTCATTAACAAGGGATAGTCTGTCAGGATGAATATCAGCAAAGACAGAAACGGAGTGCTATTGAGCTTTCCTTTGGTCCACTTTTTTATATCTTTCCTGGTAAGCTCTGAACACCTGAGATATGGATTTCAGCTTCTTTGAATCATGTAGCGATAATTGGCGGTCGAGGCTTTAAGTTCTCAAAAGGGATTAATGTTGTCTTATGCAGCAATCCACTAAAGTTCTCTGGGCAAGAAATCCTTTGTTCTGCT